TTTTTTTTTTTTTTTTTTTGAAAAAAAGGCTCTCAGAAGATTTTCTTTCTAGGTGTCAGTTCCTATGCTGCTCCCTAAAGGTTCATACGAGTTACGAAGACTTCCTAACGTCGAAGTAAGTGTTTTTAAAGGTTCTGAGAATTTTCATTACGCGGCACAGCATGAGGGCGCTGGTGCAAACGTAATTTTGTTGACTTACTTGTTACCTCGTGAAAGTGTTTTTTTCAATGTAACAATGAATACATAATATTATTAAGGGTGTCTCTTGCATAGCCCTGAATGACGCAGTGCCTAGGAAGAAACTGAGGATTTCCACGAAGAAAAAAAACCACTTCGTGTACGAAGAGGAGGGGAAGGAACAAAGGTGCTTAATTAAAATTTAATAGACATCTCATTAGTTTGTCGTGGTGTACTGCAAGTGCCTTTGGTGCGGGAATAAGGAAATAATGGAAGCATTTCAGGATTTATTTTGATGTCGAAACTCAAGACTATTCAACCGTTCCAAAACCGCTGATCAACCTTGTCTACACTTTGATATATGAACGAGAAAGGAATAGAGGATGAAGAATGGCTCTGTAAACTATTTTGCAGTATATTAATTCGCACTTCTAATTGTTTCCTGCATCAATATCGGGTGCATTTTTGGATGCGCATTGAAATCTCAAGAGTAGGTGAAACTCGAAGATTTTTAAGTCATAAGGTTAGAAACTATTTTATTCCTGCAATGATTAATGCTAACACTTTATGAGAATGTGATCATTCCCAAAAGCACCTATCAATCTCATAATAATAATTTAAAAATGAAGGACCAAATCTCCTTTAAGGATTTAATTTGTAGATCTCAAGACTTGTTTTTTGATTAATTTAACCAAAGGTGGATCAATAAACTAACTAACTAATTCCTGTCCTGCAGTAAACGAGGAACCAGATAGGGAAAATACCGCTACCTGACACACTAGTCTTTTTATGAAAATATTTACACCATAAGATGCCCGCTGATCACAGTCACGCATCATCTCCTATCTCCCAGTTTCTTGACCTTTGGACTGCATCTCTCCAAGTTTTAAGCTTCTTATCCCTAGTCTTCTCATCCGTCCTAGGTGAATATATTGACAGATCGGTGACATCACTAACTGCATAATCTTGGAGTCTGCAATTCAACAAATGTGCGGTATATTTGTTTCGTATAAAAAGTGAAGCGCGAATTTGAACAAAAGTTCAAGTTTTTGTCACTAATTGGAAACCAAAATCACTTTGTTTTAATAAGCTGAAAACCAAGATACAAATGAACTGACGTCGCTAAATTACTGCCAATTGCAGCCGCCATCGCAGCACCTAAAGCAGTGGTTTCAAGGAGCCTAGAAACGATAACATCTCTCCCAATTATATCGCTTTGCGTCTGATTGAAGAACACATTTTTTGTCATCCCTCCATCGACCTGCAAAGCATTTTGTTCGGAATAGAAAAAGAAATAAGCGGAGCATTTCAAAACACTCGGTTCCGAAACTGCAGGGTATTTCATCCCGGCCTATCTCTGAGGACACTACCAACACAAAAGGCCCATTTACTGGAGCAACCCAAATTTTCCAAACAAGACACTGACCCCGCAACGGTTTTCATGTATTCAGGAACGTCGTCCTTGAAGGACCCCATAATGACTGAGATGCTCTAAGAACGACAAGCTCAACTTTGCCGGTCCAAGCAGAACCCACCGATTGCTCATTTGGCTTAAACGTCATTTGTCCGCGCCGGTCCGCTTTTCTTGTACAAGTTCCTTCCAATTTCTGAGAACATCTCGTCCCTTCAAAACCCTCTGTCCGGAACTAACCTATACTCGTTAGAATGGTCTAAGAGCGAGCCACTCGGAAACGTCAATTTGACTACAAACTGTAGGTCGTTCTTTTTCTTTTTTTGAGCTATTAATCGTCTTCGTTTGCAAGTTTATTTTTCGTGCACCTCGAAAACATTGCCTGTCTGGAATACTTATTTTAAAACTGGGCCTGTTTTTCTCAATTAGAGTGTTAAGATTGAGCTACCTAGCTGTGCCGATCTAGTTAAGTGAGTTGCATGTTCTTCTGAGATTACCAGCATTACAAATTTCCGCATTTCATCAATTTACGGGGTAGCACAGTGGTCTCAGTCAGTAATTTGGAATGTTTGTTTAGACTTTCAAATCTGTTGTTGAAATTTTTTAGTACAACTGGGAGAAGTTGCTAAATTACTCATAATTCAATGTAAGTATGAAGATTTCTAAAGAAAGTGGACTTTGAAAAATGCTTTACTTCCCTAACTAGATTAGTAAAGCAAAATAGCTTATTCCTAGACCATTCTAACATATATGGCGCCCTTTTCAAAATGCACAAAAAATGAGCTTGCAAAAAAGAAACAACCGGCGAATCCAAAAGTGATTGATGACCTCGAGTGAAATAGCGTGTTAAATGGTTATTCCCAGAACGCTGTAATGGTTGAAGTGAGCGCAGAATGAAATAAATAAGATAAAAGGCCTCTCTGAACACAATTGGACTCGTAAAAAAATAAACCAGCGAAAAAAAATTGACGTTTAGTCCTAAAAAAGACGAATGGTGACTTGTGATCGACAATGTATATAAACATCTTGGTCCTAAATATTTTAATGAAAACAGCCAACTCTCGAGTCAAACATCCCGAACAAGTTGGAAGTCCTGTGGAAGTGCAAAAAGGCATAAGTTTGTTAGAAAAAAGACCAATAACTCAAATAGTTACTGGTAATCCATGATGGGACAGGTACATTTAGGTAGCTCATTCCTAATGGTATCTCAACGGTTACAAGCTGGCCCTGCACTGAGCAACATGAAAAAATATTCCGGAATTGCAAAAAACGTGTTAACTAGTGCAAGTGACCGACAACCCGAAAAGAAATTGTCGATGACCATGAAACAAACCAACATATTTGAGTGGCTTGTTTTTAAAGCATTCGAGTGACTTAGAGTCTTTCCAGGATGAACTTTCTAAACAAATGAAGATCGTTAAGGAATAATACCCGTAATAAGTTTCGTCATGGGTAAAAAAGCATTTCGTGTGTGCAGGATTTTTAGCTATAGACTGCGAATCAAATGCTTCAACTGGACTTGAAAATGTTAAGAAAAAAGACACCAAACTCACCCTAAAAATTCGAACTTTACACCCATCCGGCAGGTCCTTTACGACAGCATCCAGTATGTCAGCAGACTGGTAACAAACGGCTTCCAAAGCAGCTCTAGTTATATGGGACTTTTTGGTGAATTGAGTCAATCCGTAAAGTGCGCCCCTGGCTGTGCTATCCCAGTATGGTGAATAGAGACCTGTGAACGAAGGGACAAAAACAACACCCTCAGTACTTTCAACGGAAGTCGCTGACTGTTCGCAGTCAGATGCGTTCTGTGTAGAAAGAGCGTGAGCTTATAATCGAAAAATTGAAATATATCACGCAGTTCTTGAGAATGTACAAAACTTTGCAATAAAAGATGCTGAAAATACATCAGTTTCCTTAGTATTACTACTAAAGTACTGCTTTACTGCAGAAAATTTAAAAATTTACTTTAAAAAACTGTAGATTGTCTCGCAGGAATCGAATCACATTACCTCCAATAGATCCGGACCCTTCAAGTGCATAATAAATTTTAGCGTCTTTTCCCATCTAAATCAACAAATAACGCATGACTGCTACTGAAAAAGTAGCTTGAGAAAATAATTTACTACCTAAATGAACTTACCTGGAATGCTACAGTTGACAGTAACCCGTGTTCACTAAAGACAACCTGATCTCCCACATTGCAGAGCATGAAAGTTCCGGTACCATAGGTGTTCTTAATGTCACCAGCTTTTAAGCAGCCATGTCCAACTAAGGCAGCTTGTTGATCTCCCAAGATTCCAGAAACAGGCACTCCTTTTAAAGGACCTGAAATTGTTTACTTGATTACAACTATTAAAGCACACTCATTAATTTTCTGCTAACGGCCCAAGCCATCCCGATACAACAACACTTCTAAATACGTAGAAGCACAACAAAGTTGATATTAACTGCCTTTTTCAAAATTCAAACTAAAGTTTTTTTCTTCAAAATCTAAGTCGTGCTGAGTTCAAATTACATTTAAAGTCTTATCACTCAAAATATTCTGCTTCTTTTGCCTTCTCTGTATTTTGCTGCCACTGTCCAACAACCCTTTGTCTTCTACCAAACCCAATAAAATCCGATATTTCTTTAGTCAAAGTTAAAGTTTTTCTTTTAAATTAGGTTTCGACTCCTTATCTGCTTGAAACCTGCATTTATATGAATTTTACAGATGCAACCCTCATCTTTTTTTCTAGCACTTCATTAAAGTTTTGAAGAATTGTTTATTTTTGCATCGTTTCACAACCCTTCCTTCATTAATTGGCAGTAACCATCTACTTTTTCTGTCTTAAACCGACCATAAATCATGTAACTTTTCTGCTAATTAGAATACTAATTATAAGGCCTACCTGAATTTATGTGACCATACACCTCTGCGGAAGAGCAAATTTTAGGGAGTATTTCCAATGGTATGCCGAAGAAATCGCACATTTCGGTAGACCAAGTAGCTTTTCTTAAATCAAATAACAGAGTTCTACTCGCATTGGAAACGTCAGTGACATGCTTGCCAGTTAAATTCCACATTAACCATGTGTCTACATTGCCAAACATCAATGTTCCTTGAAATAATTGATATCACAAAGAGATTTTAAAGGTCCAAAAAAAAAAAATCACCAGTTATTAACTGCATAATATTTAAATTAAAAAACTAGTAATTCTTAAAAAGAACTCCAAAAGTAAAAAAAAGGGAAAACTAAAAATAATAAGCTTGAGCAAATCGTAAAAAAATTAAGACCTTTATTGTTCTGAGCAGAAATCAACTTCCTTAAGTCTTTCACAGCAAAAAAACTACTTTTTCTCAACAACATACTTTTTTTTTAAAATATGTCAATTCTTTTAATCAAAACAGCCAATCCCTTTACCAAATTTAGGCGAACAAAGCACTGAATTTGAAAGAAATGTCTTTACTATATGTACAGCTCTCTTCATAATGACCTTCACTCTTTAGACCTTTCTTAAATCTAGCAAAATTTATTCAATCCCCTCAAACTGCCCACCTCCTCCAATTAAATAAATTTTAAAAAGTCTCCAAATGCTTCATACAAAAAAAAAGATTGAATGCACTTCGTTCCAAATAATTTAAAATCTTAAATATCCTCAAAAATTGACAAGTTTTTCAAAGTAAGTCGCAAAAAGATGAAAATGAAATGAGAGACACATGTATGAAGAAATAAACTTCTGACATCTACCGGATTCTGGTTAAGCAACTTTTACCATACCTCCGAATCACGTCAAAAACGTACTAAAATAGAACATCTTTGCTAATATGTCTTTTGCAGCCGCAAAGATTAGAATAGAAGAACTATGTCCTAATAAGTACTAGATAAAAAAGTATAAAACTTGGAAACGCTAAAACCAGTTCATAAATCTTAAGTTTGAAATAAATTAAAATAAACAAAAAAAATTCTTCTGCTTCTTGTGAATAATAAATTGATGCTTATAAGAACCTTTTTCTCTAGCAGCCTTAACGGCTTCAACATTGTCAAATAACCATCTCAGTTTCAGTGCACTGAAATATGGGTGAATCGGAAGTCCAGTTGTTTTTCTAAAGTGATCTTTTGACCTGCAATTAAAATTTTGCGAAACAAAGCAAAGTTGACAACTGAAAAGTGTATTCAAACTGATAATTTCGCTAAAGTCTTTTTTAAAATTTCCAAATAGTACTGCTAGCTAGAAATCTAAGATCAAAAGTATAACTCAAAAGCTAGTATTTGGAAAAGAATCTTATAAACTAGTGCTATAACTTTACAAAATAAGAAACTTTGATTTATAACATATTTTGTAAAAACATACTTGCTAGGTGTCTTGCTTATGAAATGCTTAGAATTTTCGGAGGTACGGCTATCAAGCCAGACGATCGCATTATATAATGCTTTACCAGTTTCGCGATCCCAAACAACAGTTGTCTCTAAACTACAAAAAGTTCAATACAAAAAAAATTTACTTCATTTATCAATTTACTGTGTGTAATATAAATAATTTTGACTCAGTTTAAAAAGGCTACAGTGAACACAAAGTCGACAAAAAGTAAAAGCACAGTAAAGAATACACTCGCACCTCTTTGATTAGCAATTCCAACCGTGAGTGGCTTTACACATCCATTACTAACTTGACCTAACTTTTCCATAACAATACCGATACAATCCATAACGGTTTCTACAATCTCGTTTGGGTTTATTTCTACCCATTCTGGATGCGGAAAAATTTGTTTGATTTCCTTCTTAAAAGAACACTATATCTTGTGCTGTTAAATTAATTGCTACATGCGTAGACTAATAATATATAATTTTAAATACAAGATTGAAATTTATTTCAGCTTATAAACCTGATTAAACGACAAAACCCAGCCTAAACTGTTTGTCAGTAAAAGATGAGTTTTTTCCCCCTTCGGTAGGTAAATTCAAATAAAAGAAAAACAAACCTTTAATGTTTCTTTTTGTCTTCCTCCGCAGTATCTTCTGCATTTTTTGCTTAGAATGACAAAAAACAAACGCTTAAAAAATAAAATAAAGACCAGTGATTAACCATGCTAAACTAGCCAACAAACCCACAGTTCCTTGATTATTTTAGAAATTCCATGAAAGATGAAAACCGATGAAGAGAAACTAGGTTAGAAGGTAAAAAATGATACTCTGTAAAGGATAAGTCCTCAAAAAGTAAAACGTAAAATCTAAGTATTAAAACGCGAAAAAGATCAAAAAGTTTTGAATGACTTGGTGATAAAGTATTTATAAAGGAAAAAAGGAATAATGACAACAAATAAAATAATTCTTATAACACGCGGTGAAGACAAGCGTAGTAGGAGTTTAACACTTCGCCACTAGTTTTCTAATTTAGAAAACCAAACGCTCAGTGAAAACAGAATTTCACAAAGCAGTCGCCGTTCAGACAATTTCCCATTGAATACAATCGTCTTAGCAACGACCTTTACCCCCCAGCTATCGTGACACACTTTTTGTAGTCAATATCAGTGGAAAGAGATCATGAAGGACATCTTTACAAAAAATGCTTTAAAAACTAAGGAATTTTTCCACCTTACGCTCATCAGGAAATTGGAGAACAGAATTATAAGAAACTATTTCAAATGGGTAATTTGGTAAAACTGTTTTCTTAAGAAAAGAAATAACTTCCCAAATATTTGAAACTATCTCCATCAATTTTCCAAACTCCAATCGGTATAAAATCGCTCTTAATGAATTACTAATCCCCATATCTACAAGATCTTCAGTCGTCAAAATCCCGGACCACTTTTTACACTTACTAGCGAGAATGAAACTCCGATCACAAGTATCTTCGCTTATAGATTAAGCTCATGCAGAATCGCAGCCTTTCAAACTTCGGCTTCAAAACTGCGAACTTAATAAATAAAAAAGTAATATTCACAATACATTAATTTGCGAAGAAACTACCTGATGACTAGCAACAATATTCCAGGAATCAAAATCAAAGACCAGAAATCGTGTGCTTGAAGTACCCTGATCAATCGCTCCGATGAGTTTCATATCAGCCAAATTCTCTAAAAAATCCAACTCAATTTTGACGTCGTTAAAAACCTTTTACAAGGAAAATTATAAGCAAAACAGTTCTGACTACCAAAAGAAGATAAATATAACTAATTCAGCGACCATCATCATTTTTAGAATAAGTCAGGTATCAGTAATGACTGAAAATAAGTTGCAGTAACAAATACTGTTTGTAAATCTGTGTCAGAAAAAGAGCTAGACTACTCTCGTCTTCTGTTTCAATACGTGGAAATAAAAAGAATCGAAATTTGAGCAACAGATAGACTGCTCGACAAAATGTTCGTAATAAAAAACAAAGCTACTATAAAATTGATGACAAAAAGCACATTAAACGAAGCCTAGAGCAAAGTGAAAAGTTAATAGTATTATTCGTGTTGCTTCTGCAGTTATGCTACCTATCCAACAAGTCAGAACTTGAAAAAAGCATGCACTCGCCCTACAAAAGTTTGCTGCTCACTGCTTATTCCAAATAATCTCTAACTATTAATCTTAACACATTCCAGTAAATACCACCCGTAATTTCTTTCCGCTAAAAAAGTTCAAGTTTATCCAAATTGAACTAAAGCAAAAAACAATTGAAGTCTATTTCATGACAAACAATGCCATCCCAGCAAACATTTTGTTGTTAATCGATGACTCGTAAACGCAACACTGTTTATTCGCGCTTTAACCATCGTTAGGCTAGGTTCTTTGAACTTTTTTTTCTCCGTTCATTCTTCTAGCCAACTGATGACGTTGTACGGTAGAAAGAATACAATTAGTCCAGCTGTACGCAAAGAACTGTTATTATTTAGTCAAACAGAGTGGGCTCCCTGTTGCTGAAATTATTCGCCAAGCGGCACGGAGTTAACGTTCATTCCTAAATCTAACATTTACAGCAAAACTTTCTAATTTTGTTTTCGAAGTATCAGTAGAAGTAAAATTTTGCTAATTATTAAAAAATTAGAGAAAGAACTTTGTGACCACTACCTAGTAAACTACACAAGAGGAAAAATCCAAATTTTAAATTTTATGGTAAACCTTTAAAAAAATTACTTCAAAGTCTGCAGTTCAAAATCCTCCCCATATCAGTAAAAAAAAAGAAGAACTATTCTACTAGATGTCAAAAAATACTAGCTTTATTGAGAGAGCGCAATTTAAAAATAATAAATAGACCAATGCCGTCAACTTTTAAAAAAACTGGATACAGTTTCAAATTCAGCTGAAATTACTTATTATTCCCTAACAATTAAATAACTGATTAACCACAAGTTAAAAAACTTTTGAAACTAAGCGAAAGATACAGTAAAAATTATATCGTTGCTGATATGTCAATTTTTATCAAAATTTTATCTTATAAAAAAAAGAACATTTAATCCTATTAAGTTGATAATCTGACGGTGAATAAATGAAACAAATTGCACAACAATAAACCTTAAAATGTCATTTCAAAATTGCAACATCGAATGGATAAACCGACGCAGACAAAATAAAAAAAATTAACAGTTAACGAGTTTTTGTCCAAATTTTGAACAATTTTCATCATTTTACTTCTTTTTTTTTTTTTCTGCAGTAAACTATCAAGAAGTTTTGTAAAAGTTTTTAATTATGATTCATTTATTTTTTGTTACAACGCTTTACACTAAAAAATAAGGTCACAAAAATTGCAGTGTTCATAGTACTAATGCAATATAAACTCTATGTTGCTACAAAATGCAACGCCCGCTTTGACCTTAGAAGTTTGACTACAAAGGTATCAGCATCAAAGTTACCTATGGCTTCCCAAACAGCCCAATAATTTTTACAACAAATTTAATGCAACCGCAAAAATAAAATTAAAATTATAGGAAAATTTGGGCAACGGAACGTGAATTCCTTTCAAAGTAGACACCAAGATTACATTAGATAATAGTCTCCTTTGATTAGCCTAACTAAACTACGGCTACCAAAACATAATCGTAAATGCACATCCACTTATGTAGAGATCAACAAATTTAAAAAATCTTATCTCCAAAGTTTTTTTTTATCATTCCACTGACCAAAAAGTGAAGGTGTTAAGAAGTTATGCATTATGTAATTTGGTCAAAAAACCAGAATGCAACATTACTGTCAAGATTTCGGGTAAATAAACTTAATTTGGCAATAGCAAGCAGAAAAATGTCAACAAACAATTTTGATCAAACATTTCAGAACAGAATAACCATAATGAAAAGAATTATTTTAAGCATTACAGCTATTCCAAACCTTCTTTAAACCTACTTCCTCTTCAAACCACTGCAGGTTTGAAATGGCAAAGTGTGATAGAGATTCACTCCAAATACGCATTTAATTTCAAATTTTAAGAAAAGGTTTGCTTAGATAAAATTATACAACCACTCAGCTCGTCCTTAAACTTCTTGCTAGTGATGATCACCCTTACCTATCCAGTACGCCAAAATTTCATTACCGGTTATAAAATCCCAAAA